CAGTGCGCTATTATAGTCCAATTTCATTTTATATATCCATAAAATACGTAATAAACACGTTTAATTATCAATTAGTTTCCCGGCTGCAGCCATTCCGAATCTAACGGACTTTACCGTTCGCGCATGTTCAAGTTCAGCCGTTCCGAATGTAACGGACTTTATCGTTCACGCTTGTCCGAAACACAGCCGGCTTGGGCTAAATTCTGGCACTGACGTCATCGGCTATATGACGTAGATGCCTGACCCCTGATACTATAAATACTCTGGCGCATGCAATCCGGCTGTCAGTGCCTGGATAGAAATTTGGATAGTAACCAAAGCCGATTTCTACCTTGGAAAATGCCAGCAACTCCTTATTCCAAGGTAATATAATTATTTATGACAGTTTTATTGTGCCTAAATTATTAACCTCAGATAATTTAGTATATTTTCCCTGACAGTTTATTTTACTCCAATTGTATTGTTTGATGTGACATAATAGAGAATTACCTATAAATACCAGCTTCCATGGTATTTTATCATAGATTCCATCCTGAAGTTCCAGCTACCATGGAACTACTAGTATAACCACCTTTTTAATGTAGATGTATTTATATGAACCAATATAAATATAGACCGTTTATTATAAACCATATAGATCCACATATAACTTGGATGTCATACTTAGCTACTCTACATTGATATAGCTATTCTTTGGTTAAGTTCACAGCCTTGAAGACGAGGATTATCACTAACCCCTCCAGACGTGGCCCATTGACGAGGATTTTCCAGATACTTACGAATTTAACTGTATTTGATATGAAATCTAAATAAATTATTTGTGTACTTTTATTTCAGGTTTTTGTGTTCTGTTTTTCCCTTGTAGGTTCAATTTTTAATACTCCACGTGCGTTCGAGAAGAACTCACGTCCTGGATATTGTTGCGTGTTTGGGAAGCAGACCCCGACTGCGTTTCAATATAGTATTGCATTACTTGTGAAGTAGTAGATTCCTTTCTATAGGAATTGAATTGAACGTGTCAACATAGGCGGAATTAATGCTGAGTAGAGGCTGTATTATAATTTCCTCTATAGAAATGTTTCGTTTTTTCCCCCGGTTTAAACAAAATAAAATGTTGACAATGATAACGTATGCCAAATATATCACACATTAAATAAATCATTCATGAATGTCCTGGTATTCAACGGTTTTGATCGTTCATCCCTAGTTGGACTTAAAAAATCATAATGTTTTGATTAACGTACTTTTTTACTATTATATGAAACCTCGTTATAAATTATTATTTTAATATTATATTGTAAAGTCCCTTGCAAAAGTATAACGTTCATTCCGAACTTTGTCTTGGAATTTGTTTCTTTTCTTTTTCATAGAAAAGTACCAATAGAAAATAAAAATTTTCATCGCATACACGCGCTGCTTTTACGACTTAGTAACAATTGTATGACACGGCCCTGCATATGTTTTGACGTGACGTCACTTGCGTTATACAGACATATGTTAGCGTTACACTATAGGATTGTCAATGAAAAAATGATTGTTTTAACTGAAAAATTGTTCTTTTAGGAAGTCATAAATAGAATATTCGTTTAGGTTCACTACTTAATGTATTCAACTCGTTCAATAAATCCGTATTGAACCTACACTCATTCAATATCCTCTAGATCTGTATATCTGCAGTAAATTTGTCTGCAAAGTAGTGTAAACTATACGCACATAAACTGTTTATCGTTTGTCATTTTACTCTAGTAGAATATTTTGATAATGTAAGTCCTAGCAGAACATAAATATTTAAGATTGAATTAGTTTCTGTGATATAAAATCTCTTTAAATGCCTATTTCATTTTCCTATCATGCTTTGAAACTCACTATATACACAACATGTTGCATACAGGCATCTAATCAAGCAAACGATCACTGCTGGAATTTGCATAGAGTAATGAGGCATTAAAATGGCATTTTATCCCTCTTAAATATCAAAGAATCTTATAAAAATAGTTGAAGTGCTTATCATAACTACGTTGGTTAATGGTTAATGATTTCAAAAGATAAATTGAAACAATTGTTGATTTATGATACATAGATTTGTTGTTTTTTATTATCTTATTATACAATAAACAGATATGTTGATAGTAGTTTGTATTATGAATGACAACAAAACACGAAAGAATTGTATATTTGGATGTTGTTGGTGTAAGATACATTTCATGTATTTATATACGAAATATATCAGATAAAGAACAAAATATTCAACTTGTAAATGTTCATAAAAATCGTACCCAATGTAGATCGCCAACCCACAAAATTTAAGTTACACCAACACTCACGAAATTCAACCAAACTTGTAAACACAGTTTATTGAACTGTTAGAAGTAAATTGTTCATGCTTTGGTAGTTAATAGATTATTCTATCTGTCGAAAACAACAAGGGATGTTCACGTCAAAAGACATGTCTGAGGTGGTATAGGTGGATAATTCAGACGAATTATTTAGATTGATGACTTAGACTGCCTACTTTAAGTTACGTTCTCAAGACATCTTTAGACGGATCTGTTCATTTCAAAAAACTCTATTAAGATGAATAATTTATTATCTTAGCTTATTTTCAGACATTAGAACAAGGCTGACTTAATTGCCGATACGCTATAAACAATAATCGAATGGGTTTCTGTTTATGAGAGAATTTATCATGTTACTTTTTTATTTCTTTATATTCATTACAGTTATTTTGAATATCAAAGAAAAAGAAATTCATATCCAACTAAGTTTTAACCCAAAAACAAAACAACACAAAAACATTGAAATAAAAAACTGTGCAATTTCTAGTTTTTAATTTGTGTGTGTTAATTGCTCCTCGTTGATTAGTTTGCTTTCTCTAATTTGGTCAGTTCCGTTTCTATTATTTATGTTAGAAAGTAACGAGATTTTTTTTCTTTCAGTCATTTAGTCTTCATTAACATGATAATAGATAATAGATAATAGAAAATATTATATGGAGAAAACATGAATATCTATGACATGTAATATATAATCAGTAATAATCTTATTCTTTTGTTTTAATCAAATATAAGTTTTGAGGGGCGCTCTGTAGATTTTGTACTGTAATAACATGGTGTCTATACCACGTAACTTTTTGTGATCTGCGCGGGGCAGAAAACCAATCCAATTAACGATCATCTTTTTTTCTTCTTTTTTTGAGATTTCTTCATTTTACATAGAATAAAGTGTAGAGCCCGCTTATTTTGTAGTAAGTAACCAAAACATCGAATATTTATTGAGAAAAAATTGTTTTGCAAAATGAATATGCTTGAATTTCTCAACAACCAGTCGCTTTACAACAGAAAAATAGAAAATGAATTTTTTCTTTGTTTACATGTTATGTATATGTTTCTCGCTAAAATGAGTGAGCTCTACGCTTTATCTGATAGAAAAATGAAATATTGAATAATAATAGTAATAATATGGAAGTGAATAATTTCTGAACAGTCTCTACTCAATATTCGTATAAAACATCGGAATTATAATAATAATAAACACAGGCTTGATGTTTATAGTTATTTGTCGACCGGGCGTAAAATTTACTTTACTCATTGTAACTTTTATTACGACTGTTATCTTTGGATTACTGATATTATACCGTATCAAAACAAATTAAATTGAAAGGTCAATGTCTGGGTCATGACATAAAGTAGGTAAAGCGATTAAAGAAAATTAATCTAATCATCTTAAAAGTGTATAAATAAGTTACACATATTAGCTGTAAATTAAGAGAAATGTTTGTGTACTCCTCGTGCGTTACGTCATTAAAATACGCATTCAGCTAGTTAAGCTATAGAGTTAACAGTTATTTATACCAAAACAGTAAGACTGTTTTGTGATTAAGTCTAGAAATGAAGCATTGGGATATTTATTTGATAAACGAACTTGCAGGTTCAACATGAAAGTTGAAAAGTGAAAGTTGATCAAAGTTAAACAAATATTATTTAGAAGTAGATGAAAGTTATACCTAAGACGCCATGCATGGGTCCAAAAATGTAAAATATAACATTTTTCTGAATCAATTTATATGTTGCATGCACGTGAGTGCGCGTATTTGTTTTTTGTTTTTTTGTTTTTTTTTTCAAAACAAGACGTCAAAATGATAATATGTTTATAAAATAGTATCGCGAAGGTTGTGAATATATTATGTTTGACTATTACCAAGTATATAGTATACTGTTCATTGTGCATAATAATTTCGTTTATACTCGTACACGTTTTTTTTTATTTTTTATACATCCTATACATGTATGTACTTAAATCAGAATTTTATATGTACAAATAATTAGAGCAAATCATATCAAATAGTATATACGATATATAGGGTATAAAGATAAACACTGATATTTAACATAATAACAACTCACTTTTGTTTAATATCAATTGTCGTTATCTTTATGTAAGTTAAACTTAATATGAAATGTAAATACATATATGTAAATTATTACTTTGTAAAGAAACAGGTTTCTAAAATGGTTTTGAATAAGAATATTATGAAGGAAAATTGGAACGTTCAATAATCTTGGATGTAGCTATAATAATATGTTCGATTTAATGCTTTGTTTAAACGTATGGTTAGATTTAGTTCCAGATGTAACATTTTTTAACAGAATCCTCTGAAAAGACTAGCTTTTAAGATTTGAAACAATCAAGTTATTCAGAAAGAAAATTCAAAATTTTGTGATGTGGCATTAAACATTTCAAAGATGAAATAAACATTATACTAATATGTATTGTAAGCATGTTTTCGTATAAATAATTATTAATAATCATTATTATGGCAATTCCATCGCTTTATGATTTAAATCATAACTTCTACCTATTTTTCCTCTTATCAAAAGTACACTTCATTGAAGTTTTGAAGAAAAAAAATCTTAATTATAACTACACGTTTAATAAAAATACTTTTACAAAACAGTGTCTACAGAGTCTTGATTCTAAAATACCTTTTCTTCTCATTTTAGATAGTCTAACAGAACGGAGAAGGACATGCTACGTGAATGCTAAGAGATATTGGAGAATTAGACAGAGAGATCGGCAAAAAATGAACACACAGGATAGAGTGCAGTATTGTTTATAAAGATTCCAAGTGCAACGGATAATCTTTTGAAATGGAACGGATTACATTAAAAAATATATTTGTATTCTTGTTAACCGAAGGATATAAATCTTAATGGCACACTAGGCGTAGAGGCTAAGAGATTTAATTGGCAACAGGAAGTGAATAGTTTATCTCATGATCAGTTCTGAAAGTATTAATTTCATGTGAATGTGAATTTTTGAGATTATGTTAAATACAAGTTGTTAAATGAGGACGTACTTGGTTATTTATATGCGTTTGTGTTTAAGTTGAATAAACTACAAAAATAAATCAAATAAAAGCTATTTTATTACTAAAAAATTCTTGAAATCGGATATGACATTATCTTATTGCAACGCAATGATATTTTCAAATGAATATAGTGCTGTAAAATTTATATCAATGGTTATAAAATTCAAAGGAGCCTTTTAATGGAAACGACAGGATAATGCGCAAATAACGGAGATACATTCAATTGTATTCTGCTAATTAGTTTCAAATTGCGTGTGTGTAACTTGAACTTATATCACGAATTGTCGATATTTCCCTTAACACATTTAAGCTGAAGAGGACAACAATGTAGTTAAGTAGCAAAAGTGGATAATTTTCATTTAAAGTAGTTTTATGTGCATAAAAAGTAAGTTAAGAAGTAAAAAAGGAAGCATTTCCTTTTTGTTAAAGGATATATTAATAAGGATTATTCAGTATTATTCATTCTGAGCTCTTATCCTGACTGATTTTTTATATTCTCGAACACGTGCTTCTAGGCCCTGTAAAATATATGTTTTAATGGATATAAAAGCATTTCTACGGCGTCAGACAAAATGCTTCGGGCTAATCTAGGTGAATAATAGCGGCCGGTAAACATCAACAATTATGGTTAAATTTACAAAATGGAACCTTTCAGACTGTTTATTACAAATCTTTATCGCCGTTGTACTGTCTCCTGTGAAAGTATACTCAATAGAAAATTTAACAAACTCGCCGGCTCCCATTTCGGCGTCAATCGAGGGAGATGTTATGTTAGGTGGGCTCTTCCCCGTCCACCAGAAAAGTGAGAAGGGAAAATTAGATAGACCATGTGGGATGATTAATGCTGACCGAGGAATACAACGTGTGGAAGCAATGTTGTTCACATTAGACCGCATAAATAAAGACGACAGTATTCTGCCTGGAATAACACTTGGAACGACTATTTTCGACACTTGTGCACGAGGGACTTATGCGTTAGAGCAGTCTTTAGAATACATTAGAGCTTCTTTTTCTTCATTAGATGCGTCTGAATTTGTCTGTGAAGACGGGTCGGAGGCTGAGGCTAAATTTGAGCCAAAAACTGTTGCTGGTGTGATAGGGGGTGCATATAGTTCAGTTTCTATTCAAGTAGCTAATTTGTTACGACTATTCAAAATTCCTCAGATAAGTTATGCTTCGACGAGTGCACAGCTTAGCGATAAGTCTAGATACGAATATTTTGCAAGGACGGTTCCAGCCGATAATTACCAGGCACTTGCAATAGTTGATATTGTTCAATTCTTTAACTGGACATATGTTTCTACTGTTGCTTCAGAAGGCGAGTACGGCGTGTCTGGTATTGAATTCTTCCAAAAAGAGGCACGGTCTAGGAATATTTGTCTTGCAGAAACTCTTAAAATATCTAGCAATCCTACTCATGAAGAATACAATCAAATCATTGAAAAACTGTTAAAGAAGACAAATGCGAAGGTTGTGATTCTTTTTCTGCGAGAAGAGGATGCAAAGGGTGTTTTGGAGGCAGCGTCGCATAAAAACATCTCTGGAAAGTTTACATGGATCGCCGCCGACGGTTGGGGTACACAGCAATCCCCAGTCAAACACAACGAACTTGCTGCAGAAGGTGCTCTTACAATAATTCTACAGGCTACTCATATTCCTGAATTTGACGATTATTTTACAAAATTAAAACCTAATCATAATAAAAGAAATCCATGGTTCAGAGAATACTGGGAAACTATACATAACTGTCGGTATGCCGATGAAGTTAATCCTAAAAATCTAACAGGGACAGAAAAATACTGTACAGGGATGGAGGTGTTGTCCAAATCGAAATATAGGCAGGAATCTAAAGTTCAGTTTGTTTACGATGCTGTCTACGCTATTGCTCATTCCATTGACCAGATGAGAATAGATAAATGCAAAGCCTATCCTAGGGCAAAGGATTGCCATGCGCTTAAAAAGATAAATGGAGAACTGTTAAAGAAATATATTCTCAACACGACGTTTGATGGTAAGTAAATTTTTGGGAATTGTATCTTGATATTACCATTACATTTGAAATTAGAAAACGATATAAACACCTTTTTGTAAGAGTACACAAGCAATTACTAATAACTTAAGTTAAATTGATCGTGTCATTTCAAAGGAATATTATGCATAGCCCCTCGTGCATTCATTTGCTCATTTTCACTGGTAATATATTATTTATTTCTTCCAATCAAACATTAAAAATAAAATTTTATATATTTATATTTAAACACGTATAAGTGAGGAAGGGCATATTATATCCGAAGCAATCGTTCATTTTATAAGTCAAATAAATATATTGACTACCGTTTAATATACAAAATACAGGCACTGCCTAAACTATAAAATTACTTTTTTAAATTTAACCACTGATTCATATAACGTGGTCGTATAGGCTGAATAAATTCGTATAGGTAAATGCATTACATATGAACAATTATTTCATTTTGTTACAGGTGAATGCAATAAACATGTAATATTGTTACCACCAGATATTTTTATTTCAATATCTTGAACCGAAATTCCTACTGAGATCTAATGAAATGTGTAGATTCCATTATTTCCCTGGCTTTTGACTAGTAAACAACATTATACGTACATCATGGGTTTCGAAAATTATATAAAAAAAAATCACAGAGAAATTTGGAACTCTTATTAAAATTAAACTGTGTAAATGTCTTGTGTAAATATATTTCATAATAAATAGATTTGTTATTAAAATGCAAAACATAAATTTGTAAATATAATTATTTGTAATACGATCGTTGAAATTAAATGTAATTTTAAAGGCCCATTATGCTCCAGACATGCTTTTATTTTTATGTCCCAGAAGCCGGTTTATTTTTGGTTACCTGTTATAGTGTCTAAAGAAATACACATTGTCATCTTATCGGAACCATCTTTGCTTTTCGGCAATTAGTACAGTTATAGTGATTTAGTATTTTGTATAGAAGTAAAAATACTACTTTGGTTTGCTTCTTTTATTATAAATAATTTCACATTAAACTCTTTTTAAAGAGCTCTTAAACTATTATTAAACCGTTATAAAGCTCATTTTTGCCCTTCTTCAAGATGGGGAAAAATTGTTTCCCAGGCATTATATGCCTTTTAAAAAAACAACTACTGTATAGTTATTTATCCGCAGTCTATAAATATGTATATATTCTTTATTGTCATGTAGTAAATACAACGCACTTTGCATTCATGGACCTATTGTCTGGTAAAAAGCGTCAAAGTTTCACCAGTTCTCTAGTTATTGGATATCAGAAACATGAAAATGAGGTCAAGTATCGACATTATATCACGTCTCTTTGGTATTTTACAAGATTTATCGCGTTATCAAAGTGTGTTAGACTTTGAGGATTTTAAAAAAATAATTTTATTGAATTAAAAATGTTTTTTTCCTGTATTAAATCAATTTGCTAAAATATTCAAAACGGGAACCTTAAATGTCTTCCAACACGATTAATTTTAAAATGTTGCAGGATTGGTTTAACTTAGCAAGCTTTTTAATAGACGAAAGTAATAAAGTGCATGCTGCAGTCAATGTACCCTAGAACTGACCTTTACACAATTTAACATTTAGATTATGAATGTGGTGTAAGAGCTATTTTTCCTAGATATATGCGTGTGTATTTGTGTTTGTCTTGATTTATCACAATAATTTATCATTTATCTGACTGTTTTCGTTGGCAAATTCCATGATTCTTTCACGGAAAGGTTGTTATTGTTATTTATTGCAACATTTTTAAGAAGTCAACCGAGACTATAAATATTCTAGCAACATGAGGATGGTAAACATCACAATGTTATATTATTATATTAACAGGAATTTAAATGCGTTTGCCATATGAACATCTTTTTTTCCTTAATTAAAAACAAGTAATGTCTTAATGAATGAAAAATAATGGATACAACTTTAATGTTGTTTCACTTTTCATTTTTATACTTTGAAAACAATAACCGAATTAGAACAAAAAAATGAGAGTTAGGAGAAGCATTTAAACGTGATAATATACAGTTATATTTTATCTGATGTTTCCTAAAACAACACAAAAACACATTCAAACAAGCATATACAAGACATGAATAGTGACTGAGTTTCAAACTTTAACAAAGCATTAAGTATTTCTGTTGATTACAGAGATTTCATTTTTGCCGAAAATATTTGTTAAAACAATTATAATTCGAACTCTTAAGATCACCCATGACGTCAACATAGCTGCAGCTTTAGTTTGATTTGATTTTTGAAAGGTAATGATTATTAGAAGCTATCGTCCCGACTTAAGCATATGTCAACATGTCAATTAAAAATGGTATGATTAAGAGTGAATCACATGCAGATGAGTTCATATGTGTTATCATTTGTATATAGGGAAAACCCGTATTTTAAAGCTGTTCATGGAAATTATCATTTAAACACAAACAGTTTATTAAGTCCCACTTACCTATTCAAGTGTTTTTATTCAACTCTTAAATTTTTTTTTGCGAACGAAACAAACAAATTATATGATTTAAGCTAAAGTTAATGAAAACACTAAGTGTTAGGGGATTTTTGTTTTATCTTTAAGTTAATATTTTCAGTTATCATCAACATGCTTAACCACCTGGTCATTTCCTTGTTTTATAATTTCAAAATAGAAATATTAAAAATATTGATTTAAGCTTACATAAGTTCAACGTAATGGACAACATGTTTAGAAAATAGCAACTTTGTTATATTTTATTCTCATTGCATCAACCTATTTATAAAAGAAGGTCATGGTCATTAATTTGTGACTAATTTACGTATTTAGAAGACTATATATAGACCTTCAAACAATCCCACTGAAATGGTTTTGGAGATCTACTTCCATATATCAAATAGTTACAAAATTATTTGATCATTGTTAAGTATGCGCGTGTTCCTACTTTAAATAACAAGTGTTGAAGGAAAATAGTCCTAGACCTCTTTAATTGAGTTCTTAATATGAGATTGTTAAGGAAATATGCACACTTACATTAAAAGAACATCGAAACCTTCCTTGTATTTTTAACATATATTTCCTCTTGAAAAGAGACGTATATAATTTGCTATGAAAGTATATGTCAAACAGAAAAATTAAAATGCGTACATCAAATTGAATCGTTTTACAAACGATTCGTTAGCATATATAAATAAGATTTGTTAAGGTTGAAAAAAAAATCAAATTAAAATGTATATTCTTACGATCGTTTATGTAATAACATGTACATGGAGTGAATTTTTGGATAGAAATATAAAAAGAAAAAAATGCATTGCTATTTTATAACGGTAAAACGATTCATACTGTTATATATTAGTAAATACATTTACGATATTCCAACTGACTGATTGTAAACTAAAGCTATGTCAACATTATATCCTTAAAATGATCTTTACATCTAATATTAAAAACGATGACTTACGATTAACATTGTGTTCTTTTATCATTTAATATAGTTGAATTTCTCTCTGCGTATTATTCCTTTACAGTGGCGTTCATAATTTTGCCTTTTTAAATTTTGCTTACTTGTGGAGTAAATCTTACTTCCATATGTACAATTGTTTACAATTGTTAATATGTTATCCATATTTATATTTTGAAACTTATTTATTTTGATATATATTATTTTATGATTTCATTTATATAACAATTTAGTGTTTATCTATTTAAAGGGTTTCAAAATAGCCAATTTATTTATCAGTAAAACTTGCACTTGAAATGTAGATTAAATAAAAAAAGAATATAATATATGTTTCTGTAAAGAATTAAGGAAATATATCCAAAGAATGAATTCATTGACAAGAATTTGGTTTGAAAATTCATGTAGATACATAAACTTTTTAACCGTGCCCTTATTACTAAAGGAATTAAATCTGGACTTTCCTTCCTATATTTCAGTTGTACAGGTTATCTGAGTGCATTATTTATCTTCCCTTTCATGCCATTATTCAAACTAGAAAAACTGTACGTAAACTTTAGATAAATAAAATTGGAATCATTAATATTTAAACAGATGTTTCTCTTCTTCTGGAGACTTGTAATTACCTTTCAGTTACACTAATTTAATAGTTATTGTCAAAAAGAATGTTTTTGTATGTAATTGAATTCTATGCTAGATATAAGAGATGGAAAAAGGAGTGGCTCTTATATCAAAATTTCTTAAGGTCTTGATCTAATTTAAACTACTTTTTCAATTATTAGTCACTCAGCTAGATGAGTGTTGTTTGACATATGCTTGTTTTACGATGCAGATGTAAATGATCGTCCCTAACAGTTCTTACAAAAGAGCAACGAATTGTAACCACGCAACATTAAGTATTTCAAAGAATTGGCTGGTTCCACGTTTTAATGGAAAATGATCTCTCGCCTTACGAATGTGGATAAAATTTACGCCAAGTAAATAAAGCTAATAAAATTTTTATATCACTTTTCTTTATAAATTGCAACTTTTAAATTAAAGGTAGTTTGTTTTTTACTTCTATCTTCCATGATTGAAAGAATATTATTTAAGGTCATTCTAGTTATTAAAATAACAATTTCAATAAATATTACGGCTGGTTATAAGGCTTTTTAATAAATATAAAACATATCAGATTAAATCTGAGAATGAAAGGCACTATTTACTTATGTAACTATTTATCATTTTGACATACTGGATGCATTTCCGATGGTCCTATCCATTTTTTTCAGGGGTGCGTTGATTTTTGATATCTTGTTATTCAAGAAATAGTACACAACACTGAGGGCTTATAGTATTATACTGACTGATTACTCAGTCGACACACACAAATGTTTAACGGATTCAACGAACACTGAGGTCCGTTCAATTTTTGGGGCTAACTTTGAGGTCACTGTAATGCTAAGAGGTCTGAAGTATAGTATTATTTTTATATCATACCGCACTTTTCTAGTACATGCGGTGTAGAAAATAATGGAAAAAATCAACGAGGAAAAAAATTAAATCGTACTGCATGAATATCTATTTTAGATATTTCTAGTTAGAGTATAAAAATTGTTGTCTGTCACCGTTTTGTAAATTTAAATATTACTCATACTATATTACTTTAAATATTACTAAACTATACGCCGCTAAATTTTTAGCGGTCTGACAAAAACATATTAGTGCTTGCTCAGGCGGTCACTAAACATTTTGTCGGACCACTGACTTCGTCGAGAAAACTATAGCATTTAAAGATCCTGTATATCAAATTTTTTTATGGTTTTATATCATAAATATGATGCTCAAATGAAGGTTTATCACTATTGTAAGTTCCAAAAGACATTATTTGCAAAGATATTACCTAATTTAAAATGCATGTAAATAAAGGGAGGTAATTAGAAATTTATTTTCAATAAAGTGTTAGTTAAATTTTACAAAAAGAAATGAATGCATATATTTTTATGATTACTTATAATTCGTATCAACATTTGCAGTACATATTCTTGGATGATTGAAAATTGCTTCAAAAGAATAATTACATACATATATAAAACTTTACTTAAGTTATGTAACATTCTACATTACAACATTAAGGATCTTTATAGGCCCGCTGACACATATATCGGTAATAAAAGAAACATATTTATGTAAATATCACATTAAAAATAACCTGGCTGGAATGTCAAATTGTGTTTAAATTTTAAAAGATGCTTATGCAAAACTGAAAAAATATGACAATTGTTCGATTGTGTTTTGTCTTTTTAACAAAAACTGCTTTACATTTTCCGTCCAAATATGCAATCCTTTTTTTACAAAGCTAACAAAGCTATACAAACGAGTCACTCAAAAAACTAATAAATAAATTTACTTTTATGCATTGAACGGTTAAACTAAATGCCTCCTATTACGCATTTGTAAACTAAATTTTAGAAACCAATTCCGTTATCATTTGTTAGCAACTATATAACACATTCATGGTACATGTAGTAGTATGTACAAGGTGCGTATAACGAAACAAACAATAACACTCATAATTTTCATTATAAAACATAAGATAGAATTTCGTTCATATGTCTACGTGAATATGTAAATTACATGTAAATGAGATTTTCTTTCATTCATCTAGATGGATATGGTGCCACTGTGAAATTCTCTGAGACTGGCGATGTGTTTGGGAGATACAGTATTATGAATTATCAATTAAATAGGACGACAAGGCAGTATGAATACAGAAAGGTTGGAAGCTGGGTTAATGACTTGTCGCTCGATGTTGATAAAATCGTCTGGTCTGGAGGAACAAAAGATCTTCCCTTCTCAAGATGTAGTCAACCTTGTTTAGGAGATGAAATGAAGCACGTGGGTGAAGATGGCGACATGTGTTGTTGGGTGTGTATCAAATGTCAACCATTTGAATATCTTAAAGACGAATACACCTGTAAGGATTGTGGGGAAGGCAGATGGCCGTATGAAGATCGTCTCGGGTGCTACCAGCTAGAAGAACAGTATATGCAGTTTGATTCAGTGTATTCAATTGTTCCTTTGGTGTTATCAGGTCTCGGAATATTTGCAACATTATTTGTGATTACTGCATTTATAAGATATAACGACACACCGGTCGTAATGGCATCTGGACGGGAACTAAGTTATATGCTGCTATCTGGATGTTTATTTAGTTACTTAATGACAGTTATTCTTATTCTAAAACCAACACCAATCACATGTGCAGTTCAGAGATTTGGTGTTGGGTTCGGCTTTGCAATTATTTATTCCTCACTACTTACGAAAACTAATCGGATATCGAGGATATTCCAAAGTGCAAGGAGGTCTGCTCGTCGACCACCATTTATTAGTCCCAAATCACAGATCATTATTTCAACTATTTTAGTCACTCTTCAAGTTATATTTACAATTATTTGGCTTGTGCTGGAGCCTCCGGGAACAAGATTGTATTTTCCAAATGGAAAACGTGATGAAGTGATATTAAAGTGCAGGACAGAAGACCTCTCCTTCTTAGTATCCCTCATTTACAATATAATACTCATTATCATCTGTACGTATTACGCCATTAAAACAAGAAAAATTCCAGAAAACTTTAACGAATCGAAGTTCATAGGATTTGCAATGTACACTACGTGTATAATATGGCTAGCATTTGTACCTATATACTTCGGAACACTTAATTCATTCCAGGTAAGAATTTTTCAAAGCTATTCCAAACTATATGTTTTTAATGTAATACCGTATCATAAGACTATTAAAAAAGGAAAACATCTTTGTCAGAAATATGCAAATGGGAAAGTTAAGACTGCCGGTAGTATATAAATATCACGCAGGCTTGTGTGTAACTCTTTTTAGAATGATATTTTACATTACTGTTTCCAACAAACCAATGTGTTATTTATTCTATTATCCCGAACAAATAATGAAATCATTTGAAAATTTCAAAATTTAAACTTAATCTAACTGTTACAAAATTGAAACGAATGAAACAATGACTCGACTCTCCTTACCTTGCAAGATATAAGTGTACTTAAGAGGTAATTTCCCTTTATTCTTAAAGCAAATTATGTTATCTACCAGTTATAAAAAACAATTTGCTTTGCTTCATAATTTTATTTAGAATCAAAACATAAACCAATTTATACGATTATGACCTGTAAAATCTGACCATTTCCAGAATATTCATCATATTTTTGAACATGTGCATTGACGATGACATCCTACTTGTACATGCTTTAATCGTCTGTTTGTTCAATTTTGACACATACTTGAAATTATTCCCGTTCAATAACTCTCGCTGAAAACGGATGTTCACTTTTTGATTATTCAACCAAAAGATATATAAGACGCGAAAAGCACTCTGTAGGGTGCAAGCAACTAAATTTTGTGGTTGTCAAAGTCACTTTAGTGATGCCCCACGAATCCCCATTCCCTAAGTTGTGAACTTTGCAAAAAGAGGCTGAGTCGAGAAAACAAAATAGCTGGCGGCCATTTTAAGTTTTTTTAGGGAAAAAACCACGTGACTAGATTGTATACTGCTAAAAAGTACTGTTACCCAGTACAAATTTCTTAGTCACGTGGTACACTTGCTTTAAAGGGAGGCACAGTCAAAATTTTCATTTCTTCGTTTCGAATTTTATATTTATTATTTTGTAAATGTCGTCAAAATGAATATACTAGGTAGTCACAGGAACAAATCTTCCGACAATATAAAGATTAAATTATGGTTTTCTAACCTCACCCAAGTGGGTATGGTTAGAGCGGTAAGATTTCAGAATAGTTGTCACGGTGAACTCTGGAAACGTTAAAGAACATGTCAAATGAATGACTTAGACTTGTTTTAATCATACAATATTCACAATATTTGTTATTGTAACATCCAGAGTTTGTTCAAGTCAAAAGGCTTGTTTTCAATTTACTCGGTGTGTCTGTCGGCTTCTATTCAACATATATAAATATATTTACGCTTCAAACCCCAAATATTTAATATTTAATAAAGGAATTCATGCTGGGATTTTTAGCTCACTTGTCACAAAGTGACAGGGTGAGCTTTTGTGATCGCGTTTCGTCCGGCGTCCGTCCGTCCGTCGTCCGTCCGTCCGTAAACTTTTACTTTAAATGACATCTCCTCATAAAACACTAAGCCAATTTCATCCAAACTTCACAGAAATGTTCCTTTGATGGTCACCTTTAAAAATTGTTCAAAGAATTTAATTCCATGCAGAACTCTGGTTGCCATGGCAACCGAAAGAAAAAACTTTAAATATCTTCTTTTAAAAAACCCAAAGAGCTAGAGCTTAGATATTTGGCATGAAACATCTTCTAGTGAGTGTCTACCAAGTTTGTTCAAATAAAAACCCTGGGGTCAAAATTGGCCCCGCCCCAGGGGGTCATTGATTTTCCCTATATGCATATAGTAAAAACTTAAAAAATCTTCTTTTAAAGAACCCATAGAGCTAGAGCTAAGATATTTAGCATGAAACATCTTCTAATAAGTGTCTACCAAGTTTGTTCAAATAAAAGCCCTGGGGTCAAAATTGGCCCCGCCCCAGGGGGTCATTGATTTTCCCTATATGTATATAGTAAAAACTTAAAAAATCTTCTTTTAAAGGAACCCATAGAGCTAGAGCTAAGATATTTAGCATGAAACATCTTCTTATGGGTGTCTACAAAGTTTGTTCAAATAAAAGCCCTGGGGTCAAAATTGGCCCCGCCCCGGGGGTCATTGATTATCCTTATATGTGTATAGCAAAAACTTAAGAAAACCTTCTTTGAAAAAACCCAAATAGCTAGAGTTTAGATATAAAGCATGAAACATTTTCTAGTGAGTGTCTACAAAGTTTGTTCAAATAAAAGCCCTGAGTCAAAATTGGCCCCGCCCCAAAGGTGTCATTATTTTAACTATATGTGTATAGTAAAAACTTAAAAAATCTTCTTTTAAAAAACCCAATGAGCTAGAGGTTAGATTGTTAAGCAGGAAACATCTTTTTTGTGGGTGTCTACCAAGTTTGTTCAAATAAAAGCCCTTGGGTCAAAATTGGCACTGCCAAAGGGGGGGGGGAGACCATTGTTTTTCATTATATGTGTGTAGTAAAAACTTAACATCATGAAACATCTTCTAATGGGTGTCTAAATAAAAGCCCTTAGGTTTAAACTGGCTCCGCTAAAGGGGCCTGTATACAGGTGAGCGACCTCAGGGCCATCATGGCCCTCTTGTTTAAAGAAAATGCCATTTTAGCGTAATTTGAGTTCATAAGATCATTGTAATATTTTTTTGTGTTGGTATCCCTTTAACAATAGGTGTAACTGTCATTGGCCTATGGGGAATTAACATTACAAAAAATGAAGGATTATATTATAACTCAATTGTCGACAACTTTTACTAATTGCATTAAATATCTGTCTACTAAACATATTTCCGTTTCATTTTTAACATGTCGATGGTTAAAACATAGGATTAAATATATCATGCTGTTAAAGAAAGTGTTAACAAATAATTCTATTTCATATAGAAAACCTCACATCTGTTTAATGTAACACGTAGACAATATGACTAGATGCTTCAATTTTGTCTTTAAAAATTCATTAAAACTTTGCATGATTTGGCTCAAAGAATTCTTACATTTGTCAAGAATGTTAACACGTAAATCTCCCGGGATCTATTGTAGATGCATTTCAATGAAATAGTAATTCAAGCCATATGTGCACGTGATAATCTGAAAGTAAACAGAACCTAATGAAATTGAAACAAAAACGCAAAGGATACTGCTGCACACCTATCTTTAATTGTTGCACTTGTCCAGATGCAACACAAGAGTTCTTGTCAATTTGTAATTAGGCGTTTTAAAAGTTTCATTTAACGTTAAGTTATTCCTTACGCGGCGTATGATGGGTTCAAAGACTTTACGTATAATATAAATGCTTTTAATGCTTACAATTTTATTACAAAATTTAAAAGAAAAAAGAATATTTCGCTTCGTCATTGAACAGATCACGTGTTTTCGTTCTGAAATTTGTAAGTTGAATTAATAAACTGTATGATGAATTTGATCTGTCAAGTAAATGTTATTGTTTATTCAAAACATAAGGTAACACTTTTTTATTGAACTTGATTTCACCTTGTTGAAGGAACGGTCAAAACTGTTGAATTCAAATGGATCAAATTATCCTGATGTCGCTTTTCTGCAATAAAAACTCGTAGGTTGCTCATATCATGGGAAAGAAAAACTAAACAAAAGCACGACAGGTTGAAGCATTAAAAAGTACATTTTACCTTTGTTTGTAGAGAAATGGCGCCTCTATATATTTTGTTTAACAACATTTTGTTAAAAAGTTGATGCATTATACTGTATTGGTGTGTTTTAAAATTCTTGATATTTCCATGTGTTTTAATTTTTTTTAACGTTATACTCGAATTTTATTGCAGGTTCAGATCACAACATTGTGTGTGTCTATAAGTCTTAGCGCTAGCGTGGCTCTTGTTTGTCTCTTCACACCAAAAATGTATATCATTTTCTTTCAACCGGAGAAGAATGTGCGAAAACTTGCGATGATGATGAACTCTATGCATAGAAAAACAGGTTGGTTGGTTCTTTCATTCTTTCAGTCTGAATTTTGTACTTATTTTTATTTTTGAATCTGGAAATTTCGCTGTAAATGTGAGCAATAATAGGTTAAAATTCAGGTTTTAAGAACGCTGCTGTCAATCTTTATCAAAAAGGACATCTAGTATACAATTTGCTTATAAAACATAAAGCTATCATCTGTGAGCACACAAACTGCAACATCGGATTGAACAGATACAGGCGAATTGTGTCTGACATGTTTTTTTTAAATACTTGAGGTATGGATTTCTTTTATGTTGTGCAAGTAAAGTCGTTTTACTCTGATGCCTGAACGAAACTTACCGGCATAATAAAAACAAAATTTAAAGCTTGATTACTTTTTCATGAAAGATGAAAATTATGTTAACATCATAATATACTTGATATTGAAACAAACTGAGCTGTGTACAGGATTTATAGATAGCTTAAATTTGTATATGCACTGATAGGGTTCTTTTCTTAATTACCGAAGTATTGTTAATTGTTATCCCTTTTGTTGTAATCACTATGCCCCGCCACGTTGTAGTAGAGCTTAACCTATTTCATCTTGCACACATCCTTTGCTACCCTTTATAAAGCGAGTTGTTTCTAAGTACACCACTTGTTTTGTTACCCTTTTTGTACAATTGAACGAATACGATAATAATCGTTTTAGGAAATCACTTGATTCTCTGATAGGACATTTTTCTACGCTCAATTCGAATCTTAACATTAAATTGTACTCAGTATTTCCATTTTTTTTAAAAATTCGTTACAGTTAAAGAAAATAAATGATAAGTCTGTGATTAAAATGATAGGATATACCTACATAATTAAAATTAAAATATTTACTGGATTAAAAGGAATTTGATATCTATTTTATACTATTTTGCTATCGCGGTACCTTTATTGAATGCAGATACAAATTTCTTTTCAGATTCTTGTAATTTATGTCAAAAAATGATTGACATTCTTGATGACACCACAAGTAAACATATTTTGATTTCGAGATACATCAACAAATATTATAGAAACACAATTTTGAAACCATCTTATAAGATTCATTGAATTTCGCATTACATGTTTTGGACTTTGGACTCAAAACAAAAAATGTCCTTGTCTTTTTATTTGAATGAGAATGATATAACTTTGTATAACTTGATAACTTTTGATAGTTTGAGTAAGGAGCAAACTGAACGGGGCACTATTCTTTTATAAAATAACGTTGTGGTTTTAACCAAATGCCCTGTTTGTATTTTTACTTAAATGATGCATGGACATGCTCGTGCGCTTTGTGCACTGGTCTTTCTTAAAGGTAAAAATAGAAACTTTATAGATCGTCCAGAACTAAATAACTTAGAATATTCCAAAATCAGATTAAGTCAGATAATTTCGTTATGTAATATATACAATATATAAATTTCGTAAAAAACATCATTTTAAGCCTACCGTTCAAAAATCAATTGACCAATTCCGTTGCAAATTTAATTTTGTACAACTATGGAGATTCTTCTTTACATGTTTTAAGTTTTAAAGCCCTAACCCAAGTAATATGTCCAGGAGATTTCCGCGTGGCATGGTCATTTTTTGCACCGCGATTTGTTCTTTCTCCATAAAAATTTCGTAAAAAAACATCATTTTCACGAGCCTACCGTTAAATAAATAATTGACCAATTCCGTTGCAAATTTAATTTTGTACAACTATGGAGGGTCTTCTTTACATGTTTTAAGTTTTAAAGCCCTAACCCAAGTAATATGTCCAGGAGATTTCCGCGTGGCATGGTCATTTTTTGTACCGCGATTTGTTCTTTCTCCAAATAAATTTCGTAAAAAAACATCATTTTCACGAGCCTACCGTTCAAAAACCAATTGACCAATTCCGTTGCAAATTTAATTTTGTACAACTATGGAGGGTCTTCTTTACATGTTTTAAGTTTTAAAGCCCTAACCCAAGTAATATGTCCAGGAGATTTCCGCGTGGCATGGTCATTTTTTGCACCGCGATTTGTTCTTTCTCCACATAAATTTCGTAAAAAAAACATCATTTTCACGAGCCTACCGTTCAAAAACCAATTGACCAATTCCGTTGCAAATTTAATTTTGTACAACTATGGAGGGTCTACTTTACATGTTTTAAGGTTTAAAGCCCTAACCCAAGTAATATGTCCAGGAGATTTCCGCGTGGCATAGTCATTTTTTGCACCGCGATTTGTTCTTTCTCCATATAAATTTCATAAAGAAACATCATTTTCACGAGTCTAGCGTTCAATAAATAATTGACCAATTCCGTTGCAAATTCAATTTTGTACAACTATAGAGGATTTTCTTTACATGTTTTAAGTTTTAAAGCCCTAACCCAAGTAATATGTCCAGGAGATTTTCGCGTGGCATGGTCATTTTTTGCACCGCGATTTGTTCTTTCTCCACATAAATTTCGTAACAAAACATCATTTTCACGAGCTCACCGTTCAATAACCAATTGACCAATTCCGTTGCAAATTTAATTTTGTACAACTTTGGAAAGTCTACTTTACATGTTTTAAGTTTTAAAGCCCTAACCCAAGTAATACGTCCAGGAAACTTCCGCGTGGCATGGTCATTTTTTGCACCGCGATTTGTTTTTTCTCCATATATAAACAACAAATATAAGAAAAGTGATATTTTGTATTTTAAAAAGCTTTTTAGTCCTTGGTGGTTTCAAAATTGTAAATTATGAATAGTTACTTCACTTTCAATGAAATTCAATTCTAAATTTCACCTTTTATAGTCACATATGTTTTCACGTCTAATTGAAAATTCATGGGCATTTAAATATAAAATGTTACTCTACCATAGGAGGGCAGGGTTGGAGGCTTTTATAATTAAGGTATTTGTTGCCAAGTGTTACAAATGGTCTTTTAACTCAATTGTGTCAATTCACTCTGGTATAAACTGAAATTGCTCAGCTGCCTTGCAAAATTACATATTAAATAACAAAGATTGCGTTATTCAATACTTTACATGTCGCAATGTGACATCAGGATTGGTGCTTTTCAATATATGGATGTCACTATATGGCAATAACAGTTTTTGCGTTATTCAATAATTTACATGTCGCAGTATAACAAAAGTGTGGGCGTTTTTCATTACTGATATTCACCATAAGACTGTACATGTAACTGTGTTGACGTTATTCACAACTTGACATGTCAGCATAGGACATTAACAGTAGTTGCATATATTTGATAATTGACATGTCGTGATAAAACCATAACGGTGCTGGCACTACTTAATACTTGACGTGTCACAGCGTGGCGGTATTTAAAAATAAATATCAGTTTTACCGGTTATATTCTATTTACATTTCATTACTTGAAAAACACAATAATGTGTTCTTTGTTTATTACTTATCTAGTCAATTTGTACCATTACATACTATTTCGTTTACATCGAAAGGAAAATTGGTTGTTAAACATCTATAACTTATTACATGTATTTGAATATGTCGTCTACCAATGCTAATGAGTTACATATCACCTTTTCCCAAAATATTGTTACATCACGTACATATGATGGAGTTGGAGATTAATTAATTACTGCGTTTTTCTTGCAAAATATTTCTTTAAGATTAATAATTAATCTGGCACGTATTAGCACCATTGGGGTGGTAAAGCCATGCTAGCATTTCATTCCGTTCTTTTTTAAACATCTTTATTTATGCTACTAAATGTTTAGTAGCTTGTTCATGAATATTCTGTTTTGGATGTCTTTCTTAAGCAAATGACTATGAGCTTCTTTTTACTTTCCGAAAAATAAGTCAAACAGGTAGACGTTTGAGACTCATTATAAATAAATCTCCACTTTCAGCAGATGTACATATACTTTTTATGTCAACACATGGCTGTCTATTCAAGGAGAAAGAACTCATAGTTACGCTTTGTTTTTTCCTGGATATTTGCTAGTGTAACTGATGTACCATTTGAAAAGGGAACAATAAAATAATACAACACAAATTAAATAAATTCTCCTTGAATCTACAGAAGCTATTTTAAAACTTTTTGCACTGCAGAGAACCTATATCAAGTTTCACATTCAGCCTCTGAAGTGTGAAGCTGCAAACTATTATGTAACTTGACATAGGTCAAATACTCCTTTATAAGTATATTTTGATGTTGTAAATCACCACCTGTGTATAGTTTCAGATGCCTCACAAACAACATGTACTAAGTTAAACAATTCTTTAGATGTTCACAATTCTATAGACAATGCAAGTAAGTAGAATATGATAATAAGGTTTTTATTCAACCAGGTTTTAAATTCAATAGAAATTTAATTTACTGTAACTGTAAAGACATCATTTATTTTAGATCTGAATACATTTGACACTAACAGCTATAAAGCCTTCAGCATATATCATATATACATATTGTATGAAAATATTATAAAAACGTAAATTTTGCCAAATTTTCCTTGCACTGTTAAGTAATAAGTAACGAGGTAGGATAAATATTTTATAAAATGACAATTCAGTCTTATCTAACTTCTATAATATGCAGTGAATATTTACACATCATATGATTTTCTTAGGGGTTTTAATGTGGACTGCATGTATACTTGTTTGGAGGAGAACTGTTTTCAAATGCTGATGTACAGCTTTTAAACATCACATTCAGTGTTTAGTAAAAAACATAATAATACTTGGTTTCATTCAACTGATTCATTGCTATCTTATCATATGCAGCCAAAACTTGTTAAATGTCAAGTGCTTTTGTCTGTTTGTTACGATGACTTTTTGTGCAATGTCGCACTTTCGCTCCGTGGGGAGCCAGGCAAAAACACGATAATACGACAGTCACCACTTCGTTGTATTATATTTTTTTCACCATGCGCACCACGGAGCGAAATGTTGACTGTCGTTATTACGTGTTAACGCCTTTTTGTCCAACGACCCGGAAACCGAAAATACGACATGACACAAATCAGCCAGTAGTTTGTTGTATTTACCTTTTTTACCTTCATAAATGTTTAGTGTTTATTATCATGAATAAAAATGTTAGGTAATAAAAGATTAACTGTCAATTATCCTGCTTTTGATGCTCCTTAAAAAATCGGTACTTTGATATATCATATTCATTGATTCTGTTACAGATAGTCCTGCGGAACTCATTCGTCTAAATGTTCATCATTTTGCACAGAAGTTTAACTCCGAGACAACCGAGACACATCCAGCAACAGAAAAAGATAGTCTTACTTCATTGTAAACACAAACGACACAGACACGGGATGATGTACGTAATTTATGTTTGGAGAAGTATTGAAGCTAAAACCGAGGCCACTGTAGCTGTCGAATCACTTGCGCCACACCATTGCTGATTCGATCCAGACAGAAAAATCGATTCTGGCATGTTAGGAAGTACTCCTACTAGCTGAAGCCTTCCTCCACCATTTAAGCATGAACCTAATCAGATGACCAGTATAGTGTGTGACATGAAAGACCATCTTAATAAGCTTTGATATGAAATAAAGCTGTATTTAATTTAAATTTGTATGTCTTAAGTTTACGCATTGAATACACTACGTAAAGATAAAATATTACCTTATCACGATAAGAAACAAATTGTCTCTGAGTGTTTGGTTTTTTCGTCGGTTATAGTTCCATGTTTAAGCCCTATTAGGAAATGGGGAAATATATCAATTTTGAGTCCGTTGTCCAATAAGTGGGAACATGTGCATGGATTTTATCACAGGCAGGTCGGCATGAATGATCATTTACAAAGCATTTGAACAATAAACCGTGCATTATTATACTAGAAACCAAGACAAACTATTCCACAACTGGCGTCATATTGCGATTAAGCATTCCTTTTTATGCCCCGCATACAATCAACTGACCTGTCTGTTTTATAGGGGAATGCTGTGAAGATTGTTAGAATTGTCAAAATACGTGTATTTACTCTACTTCAAGTTTAATAAGAGAAAGAGAATATGGGAAAGCAATGCAAAAAGATAATACTGGCGAACTAATGAAAAGGTTACGATAGAAAGAGTGGCTAAAATGTGGTATACGAGGATTGATCGAAAGGTTCTTGGCCCGATGTACTTCCGGTAGTCAGAGAACCCAACTAATGGTCTTACTTGCCCTCTACATGAATGCACTTTGCCTACTTGTGCTCCAACTTGTTTAACCCTTCAAAATAGAACTCTCTATTTTGGACCTCAAATAACTCATTGATCGCCTCTATCAATGAAATTCCTTGTTTCCAAAACGTCAACCACGAAGCTTGGTTAACAGTTTCAGAAACATGTAGAAGTCAGAGTGGGCCAAGTCTGGAAAATATGGGGGAGGGAGAAGAATTTAAAAGTCGCAGTCAGTTGCAGCAGCCATCGACTATGGATGTGTGAGCTGGCGCATTGTCGTGCCGGAGCAGAACGCCTTGAGTCAGTTTGCCCCTCCTTTTACGCGCACTTTCTTAAAGCATAGTACGTACCGTTGATCAAGAAAGTCAATCATGATTATCCACTTACTATCCCTAAAGAATTTAAGCCATCATCTTTCCGGCTGATGGCACCCTCTTGAATTTTATCGGAGGGGGTGAGTCAGGATGCTTCCACTGCATGCTCTGTTTTTTGGATTCTGGATCGAAGTGATGGGCCCATGTTTCATCCTGAGTAACGATCCGGTAGATAAAACCAGGTTTGGTTCATCCTCGTAGCAAGACAAAAGATATCTTAAAATATTAATTCCGATCTGCTTCTGGTCGTCAATCAATTTCTGGGTACCCATCTAGCGGAAACCTTTGACATACCATAGACATCAGTCAGAATTGCCTGAACTGAACCAAAGCTAATACCCACTTCCCTAGCAATGCTTCGCAGGTCTCGCCTTCTGTCGCACATGACCAGATCGTGCACAGCTTCGGCAGTTTCATCGTTGGTGGCCTCTTTTGGCCGCCAAAGCCTGTCATGATCTCCAATGTTCTCACTGCCCCTCTTAAATTCAGCAGCCCATCTTTTCACCGTGCTATAGGATAGGAAGGGCACTCATTCCTAAGTGTATCCATGAAATCTTTATGGATTTCCTTGGGGAAATCCCTTTCTTACCGAGGTCCTTAATGACGGCTCTGGTTTGAACTTCCTCCTTTTGGTCTACATGGCACACCCCTTTACTGATCAAAGTGTGTTTTATGTTACTTAATCTGTGTGAAACCGCGTGTAACACGGTCAGTAATCTTCAATAAGATATCGGCATCGACGTATTGTATGTAAATGTCAGTGTAGTGGCTAGAAAGTGTATCGGGCCGAGAACTTTTTGATCATACCTCGTATAGATTTGAACACTTGAACTTGAACTTAATTTCGGGAATTCTTGAATTTTTCAAGATGTTAATATCTAAGCTTTTGTTACGTTATTTTAAGTTATGTTTATTTAGTTCATGGTTCATAGGTAAGTTTAGGTAATAACATACCAAATATACGTATTGCAGAATAAAAAGTGATATGTTGAACTTTATAACTTTCGGGATTGTATGTGTTATTGTTATATTATGATAGGCCAGTAACATACAATGTCACTAGTGAGTAGAATTATAAGTGATTATATTTGATCATTTGTTCATGTTTTATCAAATGGGCATCCAATTTGATTGCGAAATAACATTATGTATATTGCCAATCAATACATTACTTCAAAATGACAGAAATGATGTGATTCAAATTTGATAGGATATGAATATGATGTTATTTTATTCAAGTTTGTAAAATTAATGAATGTCTATATGTTGTAAATGTTCCATGTGTCAGTTTAATTGAATGCCAAAAGATGTGTTCGAAATATTTGATAAATATTTGCTCACTTGACACCATGACAAATTAAATACCATACGACTATGTATGAATCGTTATTATTTGTTATGAAACAGACATAATTGTGTCCATTCCACTTAGCTTATAATGTTTAAGCAATTTAAAAGCCATTGGTGCTGATCTCTATCAGTTCTAAATCACGATCGTCCGTTTCTGTGGTAACAAATGCTCTCTTACTTGTTAGGTTTTCTATTTCTCTGTTTTAACCTTCGTCGTATTACAAGCATAGTTTGCTTTGATGTATGTATGACATGTGGCAGAAATTCGATTTTTTTGGAAACATGTTCTGCTCCACATGTTTTATACCTTACATCAGTCGAAAAATGTATTACTACATTCGTGGTCTATTAATGCTGTTATTTAATGTTTTTTAAAGTTAAGCGTTTCAAAAAGAAACGGTTGATGCAAAAGTGAATATGACATAGTCGTAGGAATAAATCTTTTAAAGAGAGAGGGAGACAGAGTGAGAGAGTGAGAGAGAGATTTTTGAAACTGACTAAACACAACATTCAGTATTTTAGGTACAAGTTATGTTAATGAGCACTTCCAAGATTAAACAGTTATGTTTATGAACATTACGAAGATTATAATATAAAGTGGTTAGTTCACTCTTGGATGACATTCACTTCTGATGTAACTAATATTATAAGAAATTCCTCAACGTTTTCTTTTCTTTTTTGTGCATAAATATTACAGCTTTATGGTTTTGTCATATAATATATACTGTGTTTTGTTGTTCATGATTATTTTTTATCAGTATTGTTTTATTATATTAGTGAACCAATGAGTTTTGTAGTCCTTTTTAGCTAAATAATATAAATCTCAAAAACATTATTAACGACCGTTATATTAATTGGCAACTTTTATATTTAGAAACACCGAAGAAGTTCAGGTTCATTTATTACTAAACTAAATCTAGTCCGAATTAAAAAGATAATAATGTTTTTGTTAAGAAATCAAAACATTACTATTATTACATTTTCGAATTAACTATTTAACTAATACCCTGATGATTATGCTAAAACGTCACATTTGTCAGGGTTAATATATTATTAAATCTAGATGCGGTGTGATGAAACGAACAGAATGTATATGTATGATGTAATTATCTGTATATAACATAGTTTTGTTTACCTTGTTTTGATTTCTTAAAAATGGTGTAAGAATTGAAATGAACTTAAATTGAATGTGCACTTCAATTTGTTAATGTTTAGAGTTTATTATAAAATGTTTGTGAATCATTTACTAGTTTTCAAAAATCTTGTGTATTCTATTTCTTCTTTGTATCATGGTTTGGGGACCTTTCTGTTGAAAATGTGTTAAATCGTATACATATACATACACAATGCGTTAACTGGAGTGCGGGTATTAGTTACCCGCAGTACAGAGGATGCCCATTGATTGGCTCATTTTTGGTGGGGTTTACATATTTAGACGGCAGAGAAAGGGAAAGCTGCTCGTTCACTTGTTACTTTTTTCTGAGGTTTCATAGTGTGACAACAGGGAACAAAAAAGAAAGAACATCAACACACTCGGCAATCTGATTAATAATCAGAAATCAGAAAGCCTCGTGTTTCGATGCTCTTTCTATTACTTGATTAGCGAGCGACTTTCCTTTAAATGATAATGATTGAATTTGTTGTAAAACGGTTTGCTTCAAAAGTGTTATACTGAATATGGAAAAAGCATCAATAATTTTTAATTGTAATGTTTATGACAGTCGTAAATGTGATTGTCAAGAAAATGAAATGACCCTTTTCTGCTGAAATCAAAATTGATTAGCCTTTGTTATTAGTCTAAAACCAGGCCAGCCTGCAAGTCCGTGTAGTATGATCAAGCTTTAATATGTTCTTTAAAACAAGTGGAATATATCAATATCATAATAAACTATACGAAATCTAAGCAGGGCAAATTCGTTACACATATTCAGCAGATTAAGGGTTAAATGTTACTAAATTAGGTTGTATGAAACATATCGTGATAAGTATATAAATAATAAAATTATCATCTTATGAAGGCTTGTCTTGCAATTATATTTTGCTCGTCACAAAATGAAACCATATGTATGTGTCATAGAAATCAGCAAATGCTAAGTGGCAATACATTCCATACAGTAAGGTTCTAAAATGTTTAATATGTAAAATATAAGATATGTCACTACATTAGAGAGATTTAGACATAGAAGACATTATAAGCTTTGGTCTGCTAAATGAACCATGAAAAGCAAAAATGTTAGTGACTGTTTGAACGACAAGGCATATGAGTGCAATGAAAAATGTGCGTTGAGCATGCGCCATATCGCATTTAAATTAATGCTATTAAATTAAGCAATGGTTCTACTGTCCAAATAGAATGAAATAATTGAAAGCGACGCTTTAAAATTGATATGCTATATCACATGATATGTCCACAGTCATAAAATAACCCTGACGTTCACAATGTAAGTCAGGAAGAATTGCCTGTATTGAGATACACAAAATATTGCCCAAAAAAAATTTCCCTACCATATACAGACTACTGTACAGGTAAGACATTGACCATAGGTGCGTGTAGATCAGGCTTAATGTACACTGCCAGTACTTTATTAAGACTTAAAGAGCGGTAGTACAATTTTTAAAGAAGGGAAGGCAATTTATAATTTATTGCATGACTGAGTTACTCGGTTATTTTCTAGAATTCTCATTGATCAGTGTACATTCTTTTCCAGTTTCAGACCAAGCCTGAACTTGAGTCTAGAAAATGTCCTTGTAACGTTGGACACAGTACTAGTTGATTTCCATTTTATTCAAGCTGTTACTTACACCTTATTTTCAATCTTGTTTAACATAATTAGCTACTCTCATCTAAACTGCAAGGGAAGTAACTTAACCAAAATAGAGAATCGTTTAAATCTATATCTATTACTCCTGCTTATTCATTTAACAAACCCGACCGAACAATTGATTCTTTATCGGTCAAATGATTAATTTTACATAAAAATACCTTTTAACATAAGAACATAAATTTCTTCTTTATGCTTAAAACGACACTATGCTCAGGCCTTTGCTGTCAGGTGAGTTTAATTGGTAATGTATTTCAATATTATTTATCAATTCAATTGAGAAACAGTGATTTCTAAGCAACCAGTTACTTCCATAGCAACAACTGACTTTGTATGGTAACCAGTGACTTTCAAATGAACCATTGACTTTCTATGGCAATCAGTGACTTCCATAGCAATAATTGATTGTCAATAGTAACCAGTGGATACTTCAGTCAGATAAGCGGTAATATGTCATCATGACTCTCTTGTTGATTATTTTGCATAATAATGGCAAAATGTAAATATATATTGACTTGCTGTGCACTCAACATTTACACATTGATGGGCATAATGTCACTTTCATGGAATTGGCAGTTATTATTTAAATTATAAGGGAGGATACTTTATCAAATTAGAGGAATAAAAAAGTCTTAAACTCTTGTAGACTACTCGTGTTGAAAAAGATGAATAGGAAGGTGCCAAAAATGATAAAATCATAACGCGTTTTTACTTAAATTTAATGATAAGCGATATCTTTGTTAAATGTGTTGCTGTCATTAAAGTGCACAAACCATTGCAAACTAAGATCTTGAAATATTGATATAATTTATCAATTAAATTAGCCCTCTAAGTTCTTAGCGGCTACGAAGGGAAATAAATGGAAAAAAAAATAAGAGTCAACCTGAGAAAAAAATCAGAATTTAGCTGTTTGAATATATTTATTTTACCGATAATAACAGTTTCCATAGATTTTACGACCTTTTTAATCACGGTTTATATAAAGTCAGAAGTCAATTATCATACTTTTACGGTGGCATAGAGGTGACATTTGCAGTTTTATTTTATCTCGTGGTCACGAGCCTCAACATAGTATCTCGTGGCCACGACTTATTATCTCTTACTGAGGCCACAAGAAAATAAGTCGTGGCCACGAGATAATAAGTCGTGGCCACAAGATACGAAATCGTGGTCACAAGATAATAACTCGTGGTCACGAGATAATATCTTGAGGCCACAAGATAATAAGTCGTGGCCACCAAATAATATGTCGTGGCCACGAGATAAAATAAAACTGCAAATGTCACCTCTATGCCACTGTATACTTCTTTATAAGACATACTACATTTTTTTTAGAAATTCGACAAAAACCAAAAAGCCGCTTTTTCGTATTATTCTTTATTAATGTGTCTTTGCCGATACATAGGGCTATTTATTACTCATACTTTTTCATTTAAAGAACCTGACTAAATAATTGCACATATATTTCGGCCAAATGCTTGTTAACAAGTTTGGATTTTACATAAGATACTTTTTCATAGAAAGTAATTTTCCTGAATACATATATTTATTATCGTTTCAAGGTGACTATCATAGTACAATTTATCAAAAAATAATAACTTAAATGTTATTTGAAAGTCATTTAGGGAGAACAAGAGTTATCACTCAACCAGTATTTTCCTATAACCAAATCTAACACCAGAAGTACATAACTACTGAAAATGAGGTCAGATATTAACGT